AGGAATTGAATTAAAGGGTCACAGCCTTAGGAAGGTTGAGAATCACTGTTTCAGGACCCAGGACCACCAGTCCAGAGATGGCACTACCACAATGGGTCAGCCATCAATCACTAAGAAAATGCCCCACAGTCTTCCTGGTCTTATGGAGGCATTTTCTCAGTGGAGGTTCCCGCCTCTCTGATGGCTGTAGCTTGTGTGTCAAGTTGACACAAAACCGGCCAGCACAACTGCTAAGGCCCAGGTCGTTACGATGCGATCCATTACCTTGTCGGGAAATGTAGGACTTCATACCAGGCTCAAAGCACTTGGGCGAGAACCCGAATTTCAACAATCTGCCTAGGCAATTCAAGTGCACGTTGACTGCAAAGTCCTGGGCAAGCATTAATTGAGACCCAGTGCAGACTTCCTCCAGGCTTATCTCTGGAGTCTGCTGTCACCCTCAGACTTAAAATGACCCCTGAACTGTGCTATGGATGGTGGACTTAATCCCAGACTGGAAGTCATTTTTGCTCTGAGCCCTGCTTGCTTTCTTGCCCCCGTCAAAAAGGTGCCAATGCTGGGTTGTTAGCTAACTGGGACAGAAACCTCAGATCCCCTTGCCCCTTACTCTGCATTGGGTGACCCTGCCTGAAACTCTGTCTCTCTCTCTCCTCCTAAGCAAGGGGCCCCGGCCAGCTCATCCGTGGGCCTCTGGGAGGACTGGAGAATAATTCTTCATAATGCAAACGAATGAATGAGACCGAGAGTCCGTCCCACTTCTCGGGAGGGAAACACACAGAACAGCAAGTTTCGGTTCCTGTCATGTTCCCTTACTTCAAACGTGGAAACAACCTGGATATTTCTGTACAGGGATCAGAGGTTGGGGAATGCTTCTCTGGGTGAATTCCTGAATGAACTTCGAGAAACCTGACCTTTCTTATCAAACAATTACCCTAGGCAGGTTAGTGAAGTGGTGAGGCTTGGGGACACGGCAGGGGGCGGGGGCGGGGCGGGGCGAAAGCTCCTCTTTGCTCAGTTCTGGTTGTCATCGGTTAATCACTTCCAGGACGTGAGACGTTTCAATGTGAGCCACCCCCACTCCCATCCTTCAGCGTTTCCAGGCCTTAGATTGCTCAGACTGGAGTTTCTTTCCTCCTTTATAGAAAAACTCTCCCGGATGGAAAAAACCGGTCCACCTGCCCTGTCAAGGCAGTGTGTCCGGCAGCAGCAGGAGGGACAGGCAGGATGAACGAAGAACTAAATTCAAGGAAGTTGCTCACATGGCTCTATTTCCCCGCAGGCTGTTACTTCCCTCTTTCCCAGGCTCCTTTATCTTTTCCTGTCCTAACGAAACTTCCAGGAGAAAATCAGGGGTGTGAAGGAGGGCTTTCTGTCCAAACTATCCTGTTGGGAGCAAACTGAAGACTTAGGATAAGTCACTTCTGTTCTAGATTTTTCTCGCGCCATCTAACCAGCAGGCTTAATGGAGACAGAATGAGGGACGAGGGTGGATTTCGGTGTTTCACTGAGCCTAGCTACCTCAGGATTTGTGCAGGTCATTAACTCCACGGTCTCACGTGACTCGGAAGAGCACCCTCCCTCCGCCACCACAGAGGATGGTGGCCCTAGGCCAGAGTTGGTCTCTGAGGTCAAGGAAAGGTAGACCACCTCTACTTGTTCTGTTTCCCCAACCTTCCACACAGAACAAAAGTGAGCCTGTCTAGGTGTGTCCTGGTTTTAGTGACCCTCCAGCCTCAGCCTCTCCGGGGCTGGGATTAAAGGCGTGCGCGAGCAAACCTGCCTTAAGAAGCCAAGGAGGACCGTTAAGGCCATCACTTCCAAATCAGAACCAAGTGTCTCCCCTTTGTTCATTAGGATATTAGGATTCTCTCTTGGGTCCGCACGTTTCTCACTTAGCTGAGTGTGCCTAAATCAGCATTGCTGTGGTCAGCACTGGACACCTGAACAGGTGCTCTGAGGTAGAGCCTGGGGCACCTGGCAGGGGACACAGGTGCTTAGATCCAGACAGACTATGGTTGCAGGAGTGAGACGTGGCTAGCTTTGCCCAGTCTGCAATAGTGCTTTTTCTATATAAGACACAGAGTGTTGGGGTAAGAGGAAGATGAGCACCATTCTTTTTGACATCATGTGTGGATCCAGAACTGGATAAGGAAGCATGGTATCTGCTTGGCTAAAAGCTGAAGCACGTTCATTTTATTTACCTACCGTTCTGCATTTGACATGTCACCTCACTTCTTTCTCCCAAAACAAGAGATGTATTCTGAGGACAAAAACATTAACTACCAAGCATCTAAATGCAATTTTCACAAGTGACTGACATTGTGAAATCGCCTTTGGCAGAATCACTCAGTAGAATCAGTACACTGTGCGCATGAAAAGACTTCCCCCAAGCTTCCTAGCCCTGCGACTACGGTTAGTGACGAAACAGATGCGTGGCCTTATGGTTAACAGCCTGCAAACAGGGCATTAGGTAAGGGAGCTAGCTTCCTCTCCTCAGCGTTCCCCGCACAAGCTGTTCTCTGACTCTCTTGCTTCCCCTGCGAAACACAGGATGTTGTACAATAGTCGTACTTTTTCTTCCTCAGCACTAGATGCCCAGCACTGTCTGTTTTTCCTAAGTCTTGTGCAATGTCTATGACAGCCCAGTCAATAAATGAGAAGTCTCGAGGTGACTGTCTGCTGGGTGTCAGGACGGTACTTCTGAGTCCAGGCCCACTCTTGGGAACTTTCCCAGCTACGGCAAATGAATTCGGCAGATTCCTCTCGTCCAGACTACGTTCTAAAGTGACAGCAGGGTTCTGGAACCGCTTAAATCGAGGAGAAAGTGACAATAGAGCCTTTGGTGACAGAGCAGGTGGCTTGTTGGTACCCCAGCCCAAGGCTGGCATTTCCTGTCACCCTAGCAGGAGCCTGTCGCCCACACAGGGGTTACAGGGCTGCTGCAAAGCTTCGCTGGGAGGTTGGGCCTAAAGTGAGCTGCTCTGGGCTTCCTTAGCTGGCTGTGTACCCCACCCCCCACAACCCCAGCTCTCAGCCCCCAGCCCTCAGGAACAAGCTAATGAGCAGGACAATGCTGTTTGTAAAAATCTGTTTAATAAATATACATCTCAGAAGTACCAAAATAATTACCAACAAAATACACCATATACAACATTTACAGGAGGGTAACACACACCGCAGTCGGGAGTGACGTAAGCACACACCACTGAACACCTGGCTCTCACACGGGAGGACACACTGGGGTCAGCTACTAGATCTAGGGTGGTTCAATCAAAAGCACAATAAATAAAATGTGGTCCTTTCATTAGCGTCTGGAAAACCACCCCCCCCAAATCCCACAAATATGAACTTCAAAAGACATTTTCTTTGAATTCCAACGATCTGTTTCCCCAAATTTCACAGAAACAACAAAACGAGGGCTGAAATCACCGCAGGGGGATGCTCGGGGCGAGACCATGTGCCGTGTGCTGGTAAGGATACCCCCTTTTTTTTTTTTTTCCTTTTCTTTCTTTTTAGAAAAATAAAGCTCTTGTTTTGTACAAATATACAAGTCCGTGTTCTCTGACGCTTTGCACTCACAACGTCAGACGCTGGCCTCCCAGCACACAGTCATCATATGGCAGCTGAAACAAGAGGGGGAAAGGCGAATTAAATTCCTAGACATTGCGAAGACGGGAGGGCTGTTTCTGCCAATAACTCATATTCTTGGGCTCTTTCCTTCCTAACCCAAATATAACCAATCCTCCAGGCTGTAGGAGCTTTCCTTTATTGGTTCTCTCCTTTAAAAAAAAAAAAATCTAAGCTATTGCAGGAGGTGTACCTCAATGGTAGAACACAGGTGCCTAACAACACGTGTTAAGGCCTGGGTTCAAGCTCCAGACCCCCGCCCCCAAGGATAAGTTATTGAAGCAAATCAGAGACAAGCTCTTGGGATACAGGTTTTGTAGGCCGAGTTTGAGAAGTTAAATAATTACGCTGCGATCCCTAGACTAAAGACTAGCTCTAGTGACGTGAGAGGGCCGAGGGAGACTGGGCCGTCCTGGTAGTACACGGACGCTCACCTCATCCTCCGTGAACTCGGACTCTGTGTCGTAGCAATCCTCATCCTCGCTCTCCGGCAGCGTCTGGAGGTTTTCCAGGGTCAGCTGGCCCAGCTGCTGCTGAATCCGGGTGCTCGGGCGGCCCCAGGTGAGCTGATAGGGGGAGTAGCCTTGGTAGGTGACTCTGTTGACATCAGCACCACACTTCAGCAAGAGCGAGACCAGGTCAGGATTCTGCAGGTCCACTGCAAGGTGGAGGGCTGTCCGGCCATTGCAGGGCTCCTGAAACCAAGAGCCATCAGGCATGTTTAGGGTGACATCTGGAAACACGCTTGCAGGAAGAACGGGTTGGGAAGAGCTCAGGAGGAACCCGGGGGGTTCCATCTGGAAGGAGATGTACTCACCTGCGCATTGACATCTGCACCCAAAGACACCAAATGCTCCACGATGCCCAGGTAGCCATGGATGGAGGCTAGGTGCAGGCACGTGTGGCCTAGGGATGACATAAAAATTATAACTACTTGTTTCAACACGCACACAGCTCATGCCCTATCTTCTCACGGGACAATCACAAATATCCCAAGTTTTTAAGAACTCAGTTCTGGGTTTGGATTGAAAATTACATAGGCACCAAAGTGGGAATTTTTAAAAGTCCATATTGTCTGAACTTTTTATATGTTGAGAGTTGAAGTTCTAGCCTAAAGTGGGCCCACCTCTCCCTTCCCTGTGTCCTGGGATGGACGGGCAGACCTACCGTTGTAGTTGGTGGCCTGCAGGATGGAGTGGAGATGCTGGGGTGTGCAAGTCTGTGTCAGGACTCCTACACTGGCCAGGCAGCCCTGCTCACAGGCAAGATGTAGAGGGGTATTTCCTCGAAAGTCTCGGAGCTCAGGATCACAGCCAGCTTCCAAAAGTGCCTCAGCAATTCCTGGCTGGTTGGTGATCACAGCCAAGTGAAGTGGTGTCTACAAACGGAAGAGGAAACAGAAAGGGGATAAGCCATGGGGCAAACCCATCGTCTTGGGTTTCCTGAACCCCAGACACCTCCTAGCTGTGGATTCTGCTCCTCCCAGATGGCTACAGGACATCAGCAAACACGAGGCCCCAGGTGGGTCATAAAACCAAAGCTAAACCCCCGGGATTTTCCTCAAGCTCTAAAACGTTGGCTAATTTGAATTTTGTAAAAGGCCAGGGCAGATAAAAGCTCGGTGACTATTAATTTAGAAACTGTTCGGGGGCGACTGAGCTAATATCCAACTCCGCCACCAGGTCAAAGAGGGCACAGCTGGGCAAGCGCGCACCTGCTGCAGGTTGTTCTGGAAGTTGAGGAAGGCGAGGTCTCCCTTCACCTGCCGAATCACTTCCATGGTCAGAGTCTTCTCTTCATGGATGATTGCCAAGTGCAGGAACCTGAAGGATGACAGGGAAAGCCCCCAAGGGGCGGTG